CTGGGGGAATGTTTGTTCACCAGAGCGCCCCAAGGCATGACGAGGTCGAATGGGCATAAACTACTGCGAGACCGTTTCAGGCTGGACATAAGGAAGAATTTTTTTACTGTCCGAGCCCCCAAGGTCTGGAACAGCCTGCCATCAGAGGTGGTTCAAGCACCTACATTGAACACCTTCAAGAGTAAATTGGATGCTTATCTTGCTGGAATCCTATGACCCCAGCTGATTTCCTGCTCTTCGGGTGGGGGGCTGGACTCGATGATCTTCCGAAGACCCTTCCAGCCCTAACGTCTATGAAATCTATGAAATTGCAGCAAAGTAGGATTATACTGGATCTCAGGAAAGATTTCAGTTACAATAAGGCAGTAGAATATACTGCCTAGGAAAGTTGCAGCCTCTTCATCACTGGAGGTGTGCAAGCGTTTGGTCAGCCACTGGTCAGGGATGATCACTATGCCTATGTCCTACTATAGGTATTTCCCCATGCTGCTGGGCTTTGTTGTTTGCCACATGGGGATTTTCTCCTCTCCTGCTTCTACATGTGTCAAGGGTTTGTTTGGGGGTTTTTTTTAAAGCTTTCCTCAGAGGCACTTGGTACCGGCTGCAGCAAAGGCTAAGGATTTTGACAGGAGTGTGCCAAAGCTCCCGTGGGGACTTAAACCCAGATGATCACGGCTAGTGGGTCTGCCCCTTGGCTCAGGGTCAGATTGATCGCCACATCTGGGGTCCGGAAGACATTTTACTCTATGGTCAGATTGAAACAGACTATGGGGGTTTTGCCTTTCTTTGTAGCAGGGGGCCTGGCCCTCTTCCTGGGATCTCTCAAGTATATTTTAATAATCTCTGCAGCAGCAGGATGTTGACTGCCACTGTCCCTGCTTCTTTACCTGTGGCAGATTAGGGTGTTTATGTTGTGTGTTGTGTCAGGGTTGACTGTAGTTTTGCTAAGAGGCGAGACAATGGATTTGTATAAGATGGTTTGGATAGGCATGATCCTGCCTCAGGCTGGCAGTTCAACTAGATGGCCTCTCAAGGTCCCTTCCACCCCTACAAGTACTCTGAGCAAGAGAGATTGTGACTCAACTTCATTTCCAAATTTATGTTCAAGAAGGCAAAAGAAGGGACACCTGGCAGGCTGAAGTTCACTGCCCTCCCCACCCTCATAACCTCTCATTACAAGAGTCAGGGCAGCAGGCAGACAGGCAAGCTACATTTCCCCAGGTGGCGCTGTTTACCTGAGTAGATCTGGCTGCCAGCAGCCTATTTCCAGGTGGCCCCAGTTGCCAGCAGCTTTTTCAGTAACCAATAGGCTACTCAACAGAACAGATGCCTTTCTGTCTAGCCCTTGGCTTCTGAACCCTTATTCCTGAGCTTCTGCCTGTAGACTTCTTGTTCCAGACTCCAGCACCTGACCTCTTTGCTCCACACTTTCCAGCTCCCAACTCCTTTGGCCCATGGTTCTACTTGAAGTGACCACCTAGATTTCAGTCCCTTACAGATCTCAGATTTCAGGCCTTCCTGCTCCTGATTCTTTGACTCTTGATTCTAGTCTGGACCTTGTCTTGTCTTGATTCCCTTGTGAACCTGTTGGATCAAGCCCAAGCCACCTATGTCCCAGTCGTACTCCTGAACCTTGTTCTCATTAGTGGTGCTCTCTGGAGGAGGAACTAACCTTATTCACCACCAGGAAGTTCTCAATGGTCTTCCCATTGGCGAAGACCAGGTCCCCAGTGTCTTTCACAGCTTCTGGGAGAATCTCTTTTATTTCCTGAGCAATGACACCTACAGAAAAATAGTATCATTGGATCAATGGACCTCAATGTTTCCAGCCCCTGAGGACAAGAACAGATGAAACTTTTATACCAGTGTTACTGGCAAACAGACAGTGCAAACCCCTAAACCAAGGTAACATGACCCAATCTAGTGTAGAACTACTCCTCAAGGGATCAGGAATAAAAACACACACTACCTATGCAAGTTACATCAGTTTAGGTTTCACCTCAGGGTAGATCCATCCTGGAGTGGAACTTTAGCATATGGATATCACCTACTCCCCCTGCCACCTAATAGCAAGGCAAGTAATAACCACCTACTATGTGAGTTAACCCAGATAGCTGCACCTCTATCCATTACAGATCCCCACCTGATTTAAACTGGCATACAAGCTGTATGTATGATGTACAGGATATGTAGTCACCTGACCATGCCTTAAGTCACTTTCCAAAATGGCCATCTATTTCCTACAAATCAGTCAGTGGCTGACATGAATCCTTCACTCTGTGTGGCAACTAACCATATATCAGAACATAAGTGACTGGTTCCTAAAAGGCTTTACGCTGTGGTTAAATTCCAGCCAATGAAAAGCAACCAGGCAAGGGACTTCTGGCTACTGGCTATTCTCAAGTTATACACTTATTGTATATGCACTTAGTTTATTGGGCTGCTGCAGGGCACAAGGGAGAGGCTTCAGCACAGACGCCAGGGGCCCAATAGAGCAATGGAAGGATTTGTGTACCTTGGCTGATGCACATATAGTAGTTTGCAGAACAGACATGGAAGCTTTAATAACCCACTACAACTACACATATGCTATGTAGAACCTGTGAGGATGATGTCCAGGGTAGTGTACCTGTCTCTAGGGTATTTTCAATCCCCATGGTGGCAGCAAACTCTGGCTTGTAGTTATAGTGCACCAGGCGCATACGGGAGATCCTCTTCAGCTGTTCAGTGGTGTCCACCTGGGAAAAGGCAAGCACAGGTCAAGACTGTAAGTAGGATGCTGACTCCTAGAAGTCCCAGAGTTAGGCCCAGGCAGCCATAAGTGAAGACAACAATGCTTCACACCAGTGTCTGCAGCAGTGATCCCACTGACACTGAACAAGAACACCCACCTCCCCAGGGCCACCTGCTAGGCCAGGTCAGCTACCAACCAGGAATATAATCCAGTTCTTGGTTTCATCAAATAAGGAACATGTCAAATGAAACAAAATGGAGTGACCCACCCTTGCACACCAGGGGACAAGGCAAAGAAAGTTCTTCTTTATGTGAAGATTACACTTAGGGCTGCCAGGCTCTGGAATGGACTCGCAAGGGAGGTGGTGCTCTTCAAGAGGAGGCTGGATAGATATTTGGCTGGGATGTTATGACCTCAGCACTCATTCGTGCCCGGAGCAGGGGTTGGACGTGATGATCTGTTTAGGTCCCTTCCGACCCTAAGCACTATGATACTGTCCCTCATAGCACTTGACCTTGCTATGAGGGATTAATCAGGGCAAGTAAATTAAGAACTGATCAAGGCATTTTCTCAGAATTCTGCCCAATCCTGCTCTACAGTTCAATAAAGTTTGGTTCATTGTGGTCAATGGTTTTCATTCTGTTGCTTCTGCATTTCCTGGTTCTAGCTAGGATCCAAAGAGCTGAATCTCCATGAGACAGGCGGTGCCCAGCAAGCAGATGGGTGGTTGCATTCTTGTGGTACATCCAGCCTGGGAGGCAATAGGCAAATCACAGGGTCTTAGGATAGACCTCACTCTTTGAGACTCCCAGCTCAGCTAGGCACATGGAGCAGGCTAATGTCAACACTCAAACCATGTATGTTCTTCCCCAGTGCCATGACCCTCTTTAGAGCCAGTTGCTGGGCCCAGGCCAGCCCTCACCTCCTGGATGTCCTCTTTCACGCGGATATCAGATGGGTGCATCAGTGAACCCATGACTTTCACATTGCCGTGAACCACAAGGGCTTCATCAGGGCGGTCGGTGTTGATGCCAACTCGGCCATGGTGAAAGACAGTGTCAGGGAGCTGAGCCCGCTGCCAGAGAACATCACTGTCACTCTCAAACTGTCCTGGGTTTGAGGCCTGTGAAGAGACAACGCAGCAGTGACTGGTGAGTCTCATTGACAGCAGTGATTATTGAGAGATGAAGAAACGGCTGGTAAGCTGGGAGCAGAGGGGAGCTCTACATGACACCCCTCACTGATTTAACTCCACTAGACAGACACCAAAGGGCCAGGGTGCCATGCATGGCTCTGTGGTGGTGGGCATCTGCCACACACACAGAAAGCTGCCTGTGTTAGAACTACAAGAGAAGAAACTCTTGTGGCTGCCTGCAAGAGCAAAGAGCTTCTGATTCAAGCAGGGTTGTTTCACCCCTCATACATATATAAAAACAAGGCAAACTGGAGTAAAGTGCAGTGACAGGACCTATGTTACAGCCTGCCCACACAGTACTGCCACAACCTTACTCTGGGAATGAGCTGTATGTTGCACGAATGACTGTCAGGGGCAGCCTGGTCCAACAACCTGGAGAGCCATGAGACTTCTTGAAGAGTCTAACTGGCAAAGCCTTGTGAACCCAGTGATATGAAAAGCACCCTTTGTAACAGGTCCTTAAACTGTGAGCCTTCTGGACAAACACAAAGCCTGAGGCCCAGCAACAGCAGTCCTGCAAGACAGAGTCAGAGAGGTAACTTGCCTGGATAACACCCCCCCTACCCTTTCTGCCTTACTTCTGACAAGTAAGTCCATGGGGGTGTGAGGCAGAGCTCTGCAGCAGCACAAGGCAATGCTGCTAAGCCAGACAAAGTAGTGAGAGACAGGAATTTTATGTGGGCTGAGGTGAAGGCAGGAGTCTTATCCCAGAGACCACAGCACAAAGCCCTGCCTGCCCCTTGTGAAGAAACAGCCCTGAGGGGTGTAGTGCTCTCTTCTAGCTGAAACCCAGCTCCGTTCAAGGCTCTCCCTGCAGGAATTGATCAAGAGAAACAGTTGCAGTGTCCACATCCATTCCTTTCCTTTCCAGATTGCTCCTATTCTGAGCTGGCTGCCACCTGAGCCTTTGGAGCTGTTCCAACATCTTATCGCCTGAACAGGGATGGCCCAAGTGCAGGGGACTGCCATAGTACATGGGCTCTCACTCCCTGAATCATGCAGGGATGTGCTGCTGGGGTGTCATGGGGAGACACTGGCCAAAAGCTATCTGTGCACAGATTAAGCTATGGCTGCACCTATGATAAATCTGGGCAGCCTAGACTGTCTACTACTCCCAGGGGGTCTATATGGAAGCTGCGCAGTTCATCATACACCTACTTGTCTATAAAATCCAAGGTCCCCATCCATCCAACCTGGTCCTTTGCTACAGAACATGGATAAAACCCTTAAAAGGCAGCTGAGCTGAGATCATCAGCGTCCTAGCTTCCTTTTTTTTTTTTTTTTTTTTTACTGCTTCCTGCTTCTGCA